CTGATTAGACTCAATAAGGTAGTTTTCTGCTAGTCTCGCTTGACGTTTCTCATGCAGTTGCAGTTGGAGCTGGTAGCAAGAGTCATCTAGAACAGGAAGGTCCACAAACTACAACTTGTGGGCCAAATGTGACCTGAAATCAGTTTTCGTAAATAAAGCTCTGTTGGAACACAGCCACAAACATTCACTTACGTATTGTTAGTGGCTGCTTCCATGCTATATCACTAGAGTGAGTAGCTGTAACAAACCATATAGCTTAGAGTCTTTATACAACTTAAACTAAGATGCAATAAACATTTGAATTTTCCTCAAGACCATTTGTTCTTTAGGCATTTCAAGCAATAGCTTATTTCTAATCTGGGGATGGCAGGGGGTGTTGTGGGGGAAGTGAGAGATGGAGAGAAGGAAAGGAAGAAGAGGGCAGAACCCTCAGGTTATTTGCCCAGGCCAAGGACTATAGGAGTTGAATGAACATCAGGGGAATTCAGTCAGTAATTTTGATCTTTTCCTCCTTAATGGTAGGTTGATGCCTAAATTATCTAGGGGTTGCATGATTTAAATATTCTCTAATGCAGAGTAGAATGTCTTTACTTCCAATTAAAATAAAAAGTTTAGGACAGCTTTTCTTTCACTGGTCTCCCTTAGAGATTAACAGTTTATTCACACTTATCAGATTTATTGGTCTCTAAATATTGAGAGCAATTGGTTTGCATGAATTACTTGTTTTTTAAATACAACTCGTTTCTTGACTTAAGACATTTGCACACGTTAGTCCTTATGTCTGGAATGTTCTCCCTACTTTTCACCCAGCTAACATCTATTTATCCTTGCTCTGAGCTTAAACATCACTTTCTCAGAAAAGCCTACCTTAAGTTCCCCTAAGGTTCCAGTCTCACACTGTTTCACAGCACTGTATACTTTCCTTTTTTCTTATCCCAATGTGTGCAATTAAAAATGTATTTGTAACCTCATTTAACATGAACTCCCCTATGTACCAGGAAAGCAGGGGAAGTCTGCTCAGCTGACTATTGTGTTAATATTTACCCGGCAGCAGTTTCTGGAACATAGTAGTTTCTAATAAATCTTTGTTGAGTGAATGAATGAAAGCTAAAGCAAATTACAAAAGAATGTAAATGCATGGCAAAAATATTTTTTAATCCTGCAAGTTAACCCCAAACATTTCAGGTTTACTCAAAATTATTGAATAGTGAATATTTTGGAAATGAGAAAGCATCTTTTGATCCAGAAATATTGTGGATCTTATCCTTTAGAAAGGAATCTCATGAAGATAGTTTGCTGATTTCCCAGATGTAAATAATTCCACCATACCAATTTCAAGGTATCAGCCTGACATCACTGAACACAAGAGCTGGAAAGAAATGCACAGTTGGCTCTGATAGCAGAGCCACCTACTGGTGGCTTTCTATTGATAATATCTAATAATTATAGAACTCTTACCAGCAATAAGTAATCTAATTTAGAGAAAAATCATATTAAACCCTGCCTCACAATTTTACTCCAAAGAACGGTAGAAGCATACCTCATTTTATTGTACTTCATTTATTACACTCCGCAAATACTGTTTTGTTTTGTTTGTTTGTTTGTTTGTTTTTACAGATCGAGGGTTAAGAGTCTCCACCAGCAAAAATATTAGGAATCACTGAAAGCTCAGATGATGGTTAGCAATTTTTAGCAATGAAGTACTTTTTAATTAAGGTATATATATATATATGACATATGCTATTGCACACTTAATAGACTATGGTTATGTTTATATCCTCTGGGAAGTGAAAATTCATGTCTCACTTTATTGTGATATTTGCTTTATTGTGGTCTGGAACCAAATCCACAGTGTCTCCAAAGTATGCCTGTACATGATTTTAGCTGATGTGATAAGGTAGTTTAAAGCGGGATACAGCCCTGCCTATCAAAATTCTGGGAGCCCAAGCTCCAAATTATTAGGGTAAAAACTGTAACTATGTTATTACACTGCTGAAAATAAACTTGATTTACTTAAACATATGGAGATTTTCTGCTTTTAAGGGTGAAAGGCTCCCTTGCCCCACCCCTGCCCCACATCCTTCTAACAGAATTTATTAGCAATTTAGTGGAGGGAGAAATACTAGACTTTAAAAAGAAACCACTGACTACATTCACATGTCTTTTAAGGAGCCTGTCAAAAACACTTTAAGTCATACACAACTGGATTCAATAAAGGCTTTGCTTTGTATTTTACAAAATCAAAACCTAGAACAGTACGGAATCCATTTGGTCACTTGGGCAGAGTTGGTACTCTGTTCACACAAATCTATGTAGTCTATATCTATACACCAGAAGACAAAACCTGCACTTCTGTGAGTGTTGGGAGGGAGGAGGGAACTCAATGAGGGTGAGGTGGAGAGGCATTAGCGAAGGGAGGATGAAGCGCGCAGGCTATGGTCAAGAACTTAAAATGCTTAAGAAATGGTCACCCCCACCAGTCATTGAAACCCCAAGGTGATACTATTAAGAGGTGGGGGCCAGTGGGAGGTAATTAAGTCATGAGGGTGGAGCCCTCATCATACATGGCATTAGTGCTCTTGTAAAAAGATACAAGAGCTGACTTCTCTCTCTGCTTTCTACCATGTGAGGATACAAGACAGCACTGTGCAAACCAGGAAGAGGGCCCTCACCAAGAACTCAATCTGCCAGGGCCTTGATCTTGGACTTCGCCATCTTCAGAATTGTGAGAAATGTTTGTAGTTCAAGTCACCCAGTCTATGGCAATTTGTTCCAGCAGCATGAGCAGGCTAAGACACTTCAGAAACAATGTAACTCCCCAAATTAAACTTGACTATTAAAGTACTGTACTCCAATGCCAGTTTATGAATTTAAAAAAACAGCATAAACGAAATACTCAGATGTATAAAAATGCTCATAAGTGTTGAGAAAAATTGGAAGTAGCCCAAATATTCAAAAAAGAAAATTTATGGTGCATAGACTCGATGGCAAATGCAGCCACTAATTTTCCTACAGGGGTTAAGTGAGGGAGAAGGGTTGAAAATTTATATGTATAGTATGCTTCAAATTTTTATTTTAAATATCTTATGCCTAAAATACAAAATAAGTAGACACCAAACTAAAAAATGATTGCTTACTGAAAGAGGATTTTTAAAATTTATTTTCCCATACTTTCCAAACTGTCTACAAAGATGTTTTGTAAGTGAAAACATTTCAAATTTGGAAAAGATTAAACCATTCAACATTTGAAGAATTCTTTGAAAAGTATGTAACTTTAATGCTTTAGCTTTCTCAAATTTCTAAGTTAACCCATTTCTTTTGCTGAAACTTAATAGTCCTCACTAGAGACTGTTCAGTCAAGTTGTTGACCTAACTTCGCAACAGAAGGGAAGAGCCCTGATGGGCAAATGGAGGCTTTCCCCTCCACAGCTATTAAAAAATTACATCTCAAGCCTTTCAAAACTAGATTAGTTAACAATCAAGTAACCGAATTTTTAATGCACCATTGTTATTTTAAAAGTACATTTTTAAATTCTTAAACTGAATTCATAAGACCACAAAACAGGCCATGCAGCCTGTTGTGGAGAATTGAGATGTTAACCTGAATCCAATGCTTTTCAATTATATCCCCATTGAAAATTTTTCATATCGTGATTAAACATTACCTGAGATGATTATTCTGGTTGCTTACTGATTCTTGGGATTGCCAGGCATTTGGGGAAAAAGTCAGCAGCTCCATCATCTGAAACTAAATGCTAGTAGAGGGGCCTCGGCTATCACTTCTTGTGCTAGTTTATTGGGGGTGCCGTCATTCCATCTGAACTTTCTGAATACATTGCAAAAATTCTAACACAAATGTTTCTGGATAATATTGCATGACCTGTGTCTCAGTTCCCTCCTTTGTATGATGGGGATAATAAAGGTGTCAAAGGGTTGTTGGAAAAACTAAGAGTAAATGTCAGCCGAGTGGCAAATAGGCATTAGGAATCACTATGGAGATGTTAATGAGTATTGTTAAAAGGTAATTAAGTCTGAGTTCAAATGCCAGCCTACCCGCTCATTAGTCCTTTTCTGCAAATTGCTGATTAAAAATCACGTCTACCGAAGTAGTGTGGTATAATGAAAGTGTTCAAGAGGCCAGAAAGATTTCTTCCTTTTTCCTTCCTTAGTAAAGGACAGTCAAGGGTTATAAAGAGGAACTGCCTCTGCGTGACACGACTTAGTAATAGTTAAGTCGCCGTTACATTATGCCAGCAATAGTGATTAGAATCTACAGAAAAAAGGTCCAAATTTATAGAATTTTCCAGCTACACTCCGAATTTCTAGAGTTCTTGGCTTGTAGAAATGGCCTGGAGGCTCTGCTCTAGTCTCACTTGAGTGGAAATAAGCTTGACATGGTCTGAAAAATTCAAAGGAGTAAAATACTTGGATGGATGCTTGGTAGTTTCTCAGCCCTATAAGAATGAACTAATAAAATCTTTACATATTTTCATATTGTTGTAAGAAACAATATTACATAGTTCCAAATAGACCTATTAATACTAAGGCCCATTATTTTAATGTTCTAATTATAAATCCAACATAAATCAGAATTTGAATTTCGCTAGACCCATGATGTGTGGTTTTATATAAAGGAATTCATTATTTGCTGATAAAGAGTTTCCAACTCTCCAAAATGGACCATTTTGAAAGTGAACTAAGGGAATGGAAGGTTTAAAGGCAATGTAAGAAAGGTTCCATTCCAAATAACTTGAATACTGTGGTTTTTATCCTATGGATGTTGGTGCTGAAGGAGATACCATGAAAGTGATATTAAAAGTAACATTTGGCTCTAAGGTGCACTCTTCCCAAACTGACCCAAGTCTTCTGGAGCTACCATCAAAAAACTCTAGCCATCAATGACCTCTCACTATTGTCATTCAGAAAAAGTAATTAAAAACCACTGAGTCCCAGATAAGACATAGTAACCAAATCTGTATACTAACAAATTACAACAGAAATAACAGAACAAGCCTTTTAATTGTTTTACTACTCAAAAGAGCTTCATTTTTTTATTTAGCTTTCTGACTCTGTGCTTGTGCCTTCAACACTTTCACAACGATTTTCTGCTCCTCAATAAGGAAAGCACGCTTGATCCTAAAAAAGGAAAATATTAAATGAATATAGTTTAAAAGAATAACAACACTGATTTAACAAAGTAGGAAAAAGTACCATAACAGTATTAAAACTATCAGGGAAGATATGCAGAGAAGTAAATAAAACCACAAGTAACAGAATAAAAACTTTAAAACTGCAATTATATGGACAGACCCTTTCAGCCTAAGGTCCCCTTCCTACACTGGCATTTAAAGTAGGCTAATTCTTCCGTTTTATGCCAGTAGTACCTGCCCTGCTCTTCTGAGTGTGATAATTAGAAAATCACCCCTATAGAAGACCGCTCTCCGCCACTATGGTAGCTTTCATTTTAACCGCATTTCATTATTAGGATCCAGGAATAATGATGTTACTTGATTGTAAAACATCTCAGAATGTTTTAACTGTATTACTGAAAATTTCCAGTAAAAACACAGAAAAGGAGCTATGTGCTGAGAACCAAAATGAAGGGGTAAAAGATATTAGCAAGCACCACCATATCAATGGCAAGGATTCTCGAGCCTGACTGTCTGGGACCAACCGCACGATTTACTAGCTGTGTGATCTAGGGCAAGTTACTGTCTGTCCTGAGGCACAGGAATAATTTTAGAACCATTTCACAGGGTTTTTATAAAGGTTCCATTTGTAAGAATTTGCACTATCTGTACTTTGAACCTCCATTTAGAGAGGAAGCAGTCACTATTATTACAGTGTATTGGACCTGGTCAACAGCAGGTACTACCATTTGTCAAATCAAAGTTAGCCCCAGAGACAAAGCACTCATAAAATCAAAAACCTTTAATTCCCATAGAAACCTGTCCCACCGATATTCCCTGCTGCATCCCTGGTCATTTAATAGCCTCACCTCAAAACACTGGGATTCCTGACTCTTTCAAATCTCCCTGATGTAACTACAATAAATTAATGCCTCTTACTCGGGACCCTTAAAAAGTCCCTAAACTTACGCAGATGAAACACCAGACTCCCTCAGTGCCACAGCTGATGCTAATCTATAGGCTACTTTAGATTTACACCCAAATTTCCACAAGCTAAGCCTGAGAACTCTATTTTTAATAAATATGCCTACCATGTGGGTATGTCTGGCAAAATCGGGAAACCAGACTGGTAAAAAGCCAAACTTCCCTAGCTTGAAATGTCATGACCCTTTTGCCTCCAATGTGCCTTTCCAATTTCATTTCTCATTCCCTATTTCACATCCTCCATGTGCCAGATCAAAACTATGTGCATTCCTTGACTGCAATGCCCTTTCAGCCTCTCGTCTAAAACTTATCCATAATTCAGGTTCCACCTCAAATACTATTTCTAAATTCCCAGCCACTTGAAAGTAGTTTCTCCTTTAAACTTCGATCAGAGAATTAAGTTCTCCTGCATTTCATGGAAGTTATATTTACCATGTATTTCCATTACTATAGCATGCTTAACCACCCCTTTATAAATAGCTCCTGAATGGCAGAATGAACTTGCAAGGTTTGGTATGGAAACTTGGCTGGACCGCTTCACAAAACTACCTCAATAAACTGGAAGCAAACTACTTTTCTGCACCATTTTTTTTTTTTTTAACTTGTGAAGACCCATTACCTCTCAAATTCTTCCACTTAAGTCTTCAGGGTCGATTTAATATAGTCACTGGGGTTAAGAGCAAGAGTTTCAATAAAATCTGGAAAAAACCCCAGTGCTACCTCTTACCAGCTATGTGAATTTAAGCAACAAGCCTTGGTTTCACCAAAAATAGGAATAGAAACACCTCCGTAATGGGCTTGCAACAGTGATTTTAAAAATGCTGAGTAAACGTTACCATCATACACTCCACTGCTTCAACTTCTGCCTATGCCACTTTCACATGTCCAAGACCTAGTCTTCTACCTGAAATAGTCTCTTCTTCTGATAATCCTCCTTCATCCAGCTTTTAGATCTTAATGAGGGTGTCACTTCATTAGGCTTCGCGAGGTAGAAAAACTTCCAAGTGCTCACCTTTTGTTTAAAAATGACTTTACCATCCGTCCTGTTTTAGTTCCTGGCACAGCAAAGGTTTCCAGGCCCTACTCAAACCCAGTGATTCCACATTTTTAAGGATCAAGCCAAAAATCTGTCCTTCGTAACTTGTGACTTTTCTACTTTTCTTGTCTATCACCTCGTACTGTTCCAGCCACACTAGATTTACATTCTACTTTGTTCCTACTTTTAAGATCTCCCACTCTCCAGCTAACTGCCCAGTTTCTTACCTGCCTCCCCTATAAAACCAAGGTCATTTTAATTTCTACATCTAGCATAAAGGTAGTCCAACTTCTAACTGAATTATTTTGAACTAGTATCATTCATGTATGTATAGCACCAATTATCCTGAGTTTAAGAAGGATTCTAAAATATACAACTTTTGTTTAAATTTTTTCACCAGTATTCTAATAATGATTAGCATACAGTGTAACAGTTATATTTACCTGTCACGGACACATTTAGCACACATGGATCCACCATAGGCCCTGCTGACATGTTTTTTTGTTTTAGACAACCTCATCAAAACTTTAGGTCTCACAGCACGAACCTGCATAAAGAAAATGTTGAATTTTGTGATGTTTTAAAGGGAACAGAAATTGTGCTAGATTGTTTTATAGGTGGTAAGTGCAAACATTAAATAAGGTTACAATGAAAATGATGTACTTATTTATCCGAAAGGCATTTCACTGTATTTGTCATACTGGCTTAAAAGAAAGTCTATATTCTTGAAAAGGTTTGGATTATGCTTAGTAATTTTCAACTTTCTTAGTGTTGACTTCTCCACTCATTCCCTTACCAAGGAATTAATGCTCAAAAAGTTCAACCCTTGTTATGTTATTCACAACAAAAGGATTACTTACTCCGCGAAGTCGGCCTGGGCACACGCCACATGCAGATTTTGGTGCTTTCCCAACCTTCTTGGTATAAAGGTAAACAATTCTATTACCAGGGGTTCGGGACCTAGGAAGTGAGAGAATAGGTGACAGCTCAGTATTTTGCAGAGTAAATGACAACATGCGTTTTAAATTTTAGAAATACTTACAGCCTAGTTTTGTTAGACGCTGTATTATAGGAGAGCCTCCGACGGTAAGTCAAACGCTGGACCATTTTGAATGCCTAAATTAAGAAAAAGGAAATAAAATTGTATTGCAGAAATAATCCAAACTTTATTAAAAAAAAAAGTTACATAACAAGTTATCCATATTTATTCTTATGCATAATACCCTTAATTTTTTTTAAGGTGTCTTATGAAAAGATTCCATATTTTAAAACCACTTCTATTTAGCCTGGCACACAGTGATGCTCAGGGTTTTGTCTTGCCCGAAAGCACTTAGGTCATATTGTTTCATTTAATAGAACTGTGGTACTACGTAGCAAATCGGTTATACAGATAAGCATATGAACGACTCAGTTTTTTAGTGAACCATGTAAAGTAACATGAAAACATAAATACGACATGAACCAACCTTTTTTACCCCCAATTTCGTAACCACTTCGCCACAGCACGTTATTTGAAAACCGCCTGCATTTATTGTTACGAGCTTATAACATTACACTAAAACAACTGTCAGACATCAAAAGTGACACTGAAGGCCAATGCGAGTGATCCAATCAGCCATTATTGCGTTTGCATCTTCGAAACCACGACATAAGTAACTCCCTATTAACACATTTTTGTCTTTCTTGCTATTGGTTTTGGGAAACATTTTGAAACAACCGAACAGGCGGGTCGTCCGCCCTCCCAAAGCCTGAGAACATCTACAGGAGCCGTGTTAAAATGGGGACTTAAGACATGAAAATGCCCCGCGATTTCTCAGTCTCACTAGCGGGACCACAACGAGTTTGTCTCCAAACGCCGGACTTCAAAGGCAGCAAAGAACCGAGTGGTGAGCTCCAAACACTCACGGCTGCGGAGGGGAGGTCCGAATCCAGGGGTGTCTGAAGCTAAAAGCTGAGAACTTGCTCGCCACCACCCTTCCTCCTAAACCCTTACCCCCACGTCAGCTCAAAAGACTGCGCTTGAGCGATCCCGGTTCCCGCAACTCCCCAGATGGCGTCCGATTGTAAAAGGTGCAGCGATTCGGAGAAGGAAAAGCAACCATACCTTCAGACACCGTCCCCGGAAGAGGAAAAAGAAAGCCCTTGCGAGTTCAAAGGTCAAATCGACTGCGCAGGATAGGAAGTTACGCCGGAAGCAGAGGCGTCATGGAGAGAGCGCCACCATGTTGTACGGATGTCTCGCAGCTCCCCGATGTGGGCGGGCATGCATAGAGCCGCCACGTTGTACGGCAACTGATAAGCC